AGATTCGACCTCGATTTCCAACCGGGAAATTTGATGTCCTGCGTTCGACTAATGTTTCATGGACCAAAGCAAACATATTAGGGAGTTGGCAGAGCATATTTAGCAAATGAGATTAACTATGTTTTAGTTATGATGCTCATTGCAACATAAACACAAAAGCTAGTCAACCGGAGTTCTCCACATCACTTTTATCCGTCTCATGGAAGAAAATAAACGTTTACCAACTATTACTGAATCATTTCATTGAAAATGTCCAAAGGTCAGAAAGATTTGCAATCTGAGTGCATTGTTAGGGCCAAATTACCCATAGGTTAGCGCGATGTGTTCAACTTTTAGAGGTCTCCGTTGCAACAGTCCTGAATTCCGGAAAACCAGCTCTTTCAGTCATTTATGTATATCCAAATGCTGCCTAAAATCGATCGCGGGTCTCTTCCCGAAAATTAATTTTACAACGGAACAGGAGTTGGTGTAAACATGATCAAATTTTACCTTTGAGCATATTTAAGACAAAACCACAGCGTGTAGATAAATTTTTATGTTTTTCATCTCATAAAAATGCTTACCTGATTGAGTCTCCGCAACAGTACGAATCCATCGAGTCAACAGAGGAACGGACCGGCAAACTCACAGGTGAACGGCAAGTAAAAATACCTATTCCACTGTCAGTCAGCTGGATAAGTCTCTTTCTATGTTGCCATTAGACGACACAGTCAACCCATCTTTGCGAGATTACTGCGGGGAAGATAATGGAAACCATATTTTGATGTAAAATGTGAGGCACATCTTCTCAAACACGGTAGTGATTGCTCTCAAGAACCACCAAAATAACCAGACTCGATGTATACGAATAATTAATTCAAAGCAAAGCAAAAAACGACATGGTTTAATTAGTTTAAGAGCAACCGATGTCCCTCTCACGATTGCAGTCAACACAGTCATCAACGCATTGGCATCATGAACTCAAATGTCAATTGTTTGTGAGATAATGTGCATTACGTAATTATGGAACAGCACTTTGATTGTCGGTCACTTAGGCACCACATCAAAATTCCGGCTGACCGCTAAACCGCAGAATACATTTAAATACATCACCAATGAACATGATTTATGATCAGTGATGCCGAATAGCCCAACATCCAACGAGTGCATGTTTGAGTAAAGTAGATGTTTCGTCAGGGAGCATGGAGCTGATCGTTTTGTTGATTGCCTTTTGACAATAAACCCAAATTGGTAGATTCTCTGGTGCAGTGGCATTAGAACGATATTGAATCAATTTAAATTAGAATGCCTCCAGTGCCTCCAGGCAATAATCATTACTGCTGTGCTGTTACACGGTTTTGAAAGAAATTGCTCTCTACTCTGTTTGTTCTCCCAGCACTTTCTCTGCAAGACCTCGATGTTAATATCTGCTACGATCTCATGTGGACTTCATATTTCAACAGTAATTTTAAAATGATTCTAAAACTGTTTCTTTAGTTACCGCTTGCGATCTCTAAACGTTCTAATGTATTTATTCACTCGTTTTGTGTACTTTTGCGCTGTCACTCATCTTCTTTACTGTTATTATTTGCTGGTTTTAGAGTTAAATACCACGCAATGCTAGGTCGGTCTGTTAAAATTGTCACGATCAAGTTTATTGTTTACAAAAACGCAACTTTCATGAAAACTTAAGCAACAACATTCTATCCGACATCACCAATCCATTGACCAAATAACGTGAACAGCGTATATCAGATTCAATAACTAGGTGTCGTCATAAACTTTCGTATATTCGTACCGCTGTCTATTGTTTCTCCGTTATCGTATGTTTTTCAACATTTCTGGCATAGATAGTATCCGTGAGAGATCACGTTTTTAAAATTATATCCATTTTTACATTCTGCGCCATTTTTCTCTTGAATTTACGACGACGCATTTTACTTTTTCTCCGTGACTTTGTGCGATGATAAATGATTCTGGTGAGCAGGGAGCTTAAATGCTATCCATCAGGGTGAATAAAGCAACTTGTGACTTGGCTTGTGGACGAAATCATGGTACATCGGCAGAAAAAGTTCATAAAGATAAGATTTTAAAAGAATTTCCTCTATTTGATTGTGTAAATGTAGTCGTTGAGTTCATCCTTCACACCTAAAGATGGACGTGTGTTCCACATCCCATGAGATGACATTCGAGGCAAAGTTTGTTTCAAAAGCTTGTTGTTTATTTCGTCCATGGGACATTAAGCTGTACTTGTGGTGGCTGCACACCCAAACCAGTAATACTCAACTGTTCATTGATAAAATCATCTGTGATCAGAAACATCAACAAGAGTTGAGATCAATGATTGATGTTTCGTTTGCACATCACATTGCACATGCAATATCACATTATGAGTGACGTTTAGGTTCTCTTTTTGCATACATCAATCTTCGTTTTTTGTTTCATTTGCTACAAAATCTGCCGCTTGAAACGGTGATATCTGGGATGTGAAACTAATGCATTCAACTCAGCGTAATCCGGTTTACTGAGTCGCCTAGGGCAATGTGATAATTTTGATCACGTGACCACCTAACGTCATGTGACAGAAGTAATGTGCCCTAGAGCAGCAATAGGCTTTCGTGTGCGTGATTTATTTGCCAACAGTCCGATTGTTTCATTCTCCTTAGGAATCGCTTGCTTAAATGATTAAAAGACATGTTGATGACTAGGTTCAATTAAATGTTTGGTAGCATCAATCATACGTCCAGGTTGACATCAAGATGACTTCAAATTACTTTTTCAAACAGGATCTTGGATGATTACAATTCATCACGATTGAATAGAATTAGAATATAACGGAAATTAGGCAGAATATTAGATGAATGACATCATTTGTTTGCATATGTTTGGTTACATCTGCAGCTTCTTTGTATATGACTAAAGAATACAGGAATGTCGGAAACAATACCTCAGTCATGAATTCATGCAATTGTTATTAATATTTGATGAAATAATCATGACACCAATGGAAATTGCAATAAATGCTGTACTATTTGTTTATCATTCATACCTATTTTACAGTTGGGTTGTTGTTTCAAAAGGAATATTTATTAGACATTTTTCCTCTCATGGGGAACCAAATCGGGCAATAACAAAGAACAAGTGCTTCCATATGCGAATCTAACTGTTGGGGTCGCTTTAGGTCAGTCTTTGCCAGTCACACCTGAACACCGATGAACACGCTCTCTTTCAAAGCCAGCGCCATAAGTTCAGTTTGGTTGAATTTATCTGCATCCAGTGACTCTACGATATGTGTACCACTGTACGTCCTTTACTTTCATTTTTTTCAAGTGGAATCAAATACTTCAAGTTAATGTTTTTGTCACACGCTTAAGTATTTAAATGTAAGACAAAGATAACAACGCTTCCCAGTTGGATTGTAAAGATTGGGCTGTCAGGCGAGTGCAAACGCGCATGGGGAATCGCATATTCGGTCACTTGGGCTGTTGCTAAGCCGATGACTCTGCACCGATGACAAAAGCACTAGCATTTCACAAGCCTACAAATACATATTCCATTCAACCATTTTAACCTGCTAACCCTACGTACACATTTTCACAAATTTATTTTAAGAATTGACAACACATACTACTCCAGGTTTTACGAGATTGATTTGAACCGTGCATTTACTGACAAAGGACCTAGCTCCGAAAAATGCCCTCAACATACTTGGAAAGACGGTTCGTGCAATATCGTGTTAAGGCAAAGTGAAAAACAATTTGAGTATTTGCCCGGTCGCCGACTGGGTACTACGTTTGTGTTCAATTTGTGAGGCTCGGGGTTTGATCTTTAATTGGGTCAACACATTCTTACTGCTGATGAGACCCGATTAAGTCGAAGCAACTTTCCACCGTTTCCTAGTCTTTCAGGTAACTCTTCACTTGCTTTACATTTGACTAGGTTCTTTGAATAAATTTCCGTTGTTTTTTTATATTTCTGCAGCAGTTCTACCACTTCTGTTATACGGCGCAGAAACTTGTCCATTAGGAAAACAGGATAAGTATAGACTGTCTGTGTTTGATCACCGCTGTCTGCGCAGCATTACACGAATCTGGTGGGGCAGCCGGACGAGCAATGCTGAGCCTAGGCGCAGAGTTTTGGGTAACCGCGGTCGCCCACTAGAGCAAGTGGTCAATCTCCGTAGATTACGTTGATTGGGGCATGTGTTACGCATGTTACTAAATAGGTTGCCACGGCGCGCAGTGCTTGCTGAGGCTGGCAGTGGATTAAAAAAGTCAAGAGTGGTCAACCTAGGACCTGGCACGAGAGTATGAAATCCCTAACCAGGGTACTGGATCACACAGGTCCCGTTAGGCTCCCTGACTGGGGACCTTGGGATGGTCGTAACCGATGATTAGAGACAATGAATGATATAACTGAGTGTCGTAAACAGTGGCGCTCGTGCATCTTCTCAATTTCTTTGCAACCCTAGACCACTGAAATTCCCTATTTTCTGTTCGACTGTACTTTCAATTTTCCTGTATGTTTCCTATTCTTCATCTAAATGGGTGACCAAAAAACAACAACCAAACCACCGCAAGAAGGTGCATGGTTACTGGTTGCGCAAACTAAAACAAACCTAACTGAAACTCTATTTCTGATATTCTTGTTGAAATACTCCTGCACTTTAGACACATGATTGTTCAGGTAGGCTGTTATTCAGTTATGGTTGAATGCTTCTGATTGATGCCTTTGTTTTGCGTACTGACATGTACTAAATCAACAAGGTAATCAGTTGTAATTATAACGGCGGCAGTTTCCAGTTCTCCTCTATTTGTTCTGCAAACGCACTCCGAATGTTCTCCAAACGGTCTCTTTATATAGACGTGTTTGAGGTTTCCGTATGTAAATCCCAATAAAATGTTCCGCAATCAATTGATGCCTCGCAAAAGTGCATAATATAGTCAACACCGGTTCGTGTTATTGACTGAACGTACTGATCTATTCCAATCAATCTCACGTTTGTTTCAGATTGCCTTCCAATGGGCATGTCACCGGGCCAGGACCCGCCAAAATTCCATCTGATTAGCGTTCCAATTGTGCAGTGCAAACCCCCCGCTTTCCATGTACTATCCAGTGATCTGACGAGCCGAATAGCAGCACGAGAGCAGGCAGGTACATTGACTCGATTGCTCCAACCAGGATCGGTGAATAACTCCAGACTGTCCGAGGAACAAAATTGTCACGCCTCATACCCGACCATTCCGCAAGAGTGCATTGAGAGTACCCATGCGCTGCTCACCGCGCAGGATCACGCAGGTAAGAAAACGGCTCGATAAATAAAAACATCCCTATTCACGAAGCATGTTGTTTGGGGTAAAGTTCTGTCCGATCCATAGCGCGATAAAAAATGATCGAGTTATATCTGGTGCTTTTTTACCTAGTTGTAATCGAAATACATTGGCACTTAAGTACCCTGGCATTTTTGCCGGTAAATCAAGCCCAAAAAGTGAAATGGCAATCAAATTTTTTTTTCGTCATTCTTTGTGTAGCTAACATAAAGCATGTCTATCTGTCGTAGTACAAATGGACTAGAGTATGAGGGAGAGTGAAATTTTAGCTCCTTTTAGTTAAAAACCATCATGTCAAGCTTATTGGTGTTTTTTGGTGAAAAAGGAGCGCTAATCAATTTGACCAGTTCTTACACACCATTTATGGATATGGGTACAGGTATCACTCTTTAGCAGTGGAGCTATCTCCTCGGCGGATGGCACGATAATTTTGAGATTCGGTTATTTTTTGTTTGTAGTTGTGGACAAAGATTATGACAGTTTTGCTTCTCCAGGTTTGGGATTCGTTAGCAGTCCGTTCCATTTAGAATTCCGACAACCAGAGGTTAACCGCGAACTCCCAAGTTGCTAACCAAAATCCTACCTCTTGGGCCACGTACTTGACAGAAAATAGCTGTAGCACAAATTAACTACTGATAATAAACCCCCGTTAACGCTCTCTCATGTTTTCCAAAAAAAGGAAATCGTTAACCGGATTTTTTCAAAAAAGGATATAAATCTATCTCTCTATCAGCCGTTTTAACATTCTTTTTCATCTGTTAAAAATTCCAAATAAAAATGAGGCACAGAGACCTGTGAAATCTCAAAAACCTCAGAGAGTTTGAACTACTGATTCTGGACTGTATAGGCTGGTGTGATACAAACACATTCTTAGGTCAAAGATCTAGCCACCATCTTGGAGAACACAAGTATAGCTAAGATACTGAACTACCCTTACTTCAGAGAAATAGCCTCTTGAAACACAAGATCAAATTATCCAAGCATTTGATATTTGTTTTTACTTTCGTTTTGAAATACCACTTATCCTCAGCTAAAATGTATCGTATATGTGACCGGTAACATAACCGGCACGAAATTGCATTACTTCAGGGTGGTCCTGCCAAGTGAAACGTTTTGCTTTTGACATTCAATCTCAAAAGGATGAGGAGTATTTTCTCTAGCTGGAACGTACATTCACGAGAAAAGGAATCGCAGGAAAAGGTAGACAACACGCGGGAGCAGTCAGCTAGTTAAAATATACCCTCGCCTTTATTTATTTACTTTGATTGCCTTCTGCTGAATAAGTGGCTGTTGAGTAATAAGAACGGCGGAGTGGCCGATCAGATAACCGTCATGTGGTTCACACACATAGGGGACTTTAGGTGACTGCAGAATGGTTCGAACACACGATCTTCAGGCTGATAAGTGTGCCGACTCCTAAGTATTTTGAAAACTGAGTAGATTGAAACCGAATCCGCGGATGTATTTAGTTATTCGAAAAATCAGTGTGTAAAATTCGGTAAACTGAAATCACGCAACCACAACCGCAAGTAGTAATACATATAAACCGTTGATGAGGATTTTGAACAAAATTTCATCTGCTTCCGAGAGTGCAGACCTGCAATCCTGGAAAGTGCACCCTTTACCATTGTCTGTTTTACTCGTTACCCTGAATTCTGATTTCCGTGCAACTGTGCCCCGTGTATCATAGAATGACATTCACTGTGTAAACAAACAGGACATTCACAGTTCGCATACAGAGATAAACTCTTACAGAAAAGTACATAACGTCTGTTTCCAGACGCCCTTATTTCTAAGGTTGTCTACGAAGTTTTAACCTGTGAGACCTTCATTAAAGCTGCAACGCGGACACAAAACATTACAACGGAAACTGGCAGTACCAGTTTCCCGTACAATCCGGATAACCGTTCGAATTGTCGGACAGATGTTGGGTGTAAAACCAAGACACACCTCTTTTTGTTAATGTCGCTCAGTGAGAGGAACCGAAAAGCAGACAGAATAGTGACTGGAGGAAATGAATGACACCGTCTTGTCTGGCGAGCAGATCATTCACACATCTGTTGCCGTTCAGAACAAGGCGTTTTCGGGGCTAAGAAAATTACGCCAATCACATTGCCTATTTATGTAATCAAACGTAAACTGATGATCAGGTGTTGTTGTCGCACCCCATTCTTGCTGCGACTAACTCCTTATCGATCAATATATTTTTAAATGCAAGGGTCTGGTTCCTAGGTTGTTGCACCATTTATATGAGCCAGTCCCGCCACAACACAGATTTAGAAATCCAAACTTATAATCATAACCTCTATTTCTTTGATGTGCCAGTCATTCATTGTAGAAGGTATAAAGTATGAGTAGGCTTGATTCTAACTATGGTACAGTACAGCACGCAATAAAACAAGGGAGGGTACTTAGCAAACCCTGTTTTCCAGTCCCAGGTTTGTTAGCAGAAACTGACTGATAGGACATAGCCATTCCGATTGTATAATGTTTATAACTGTCATTATTTGTACACACAAATACAGACAAGAATGCATTGCATCGTTTGAAGTCAAGCGGTTTATTATGTGAGCCGTTGATTTCATTTTACCCCTTACATTCCGTCCCTGCCTTTGAGGACAGTCAGCTTGGTTATTGTACAGTTCGATTACCCGTGCAACATTTTAGGCTATGGGTTGTTATGCACACGGAATTACAGGTATTAGCGGTGGGTTTCCACAACTGGACCGTGCATGCTTCAGATTTCACTCAATGTTCTGAAACGAAAATGTAAAAGTTCGCTCTATCATACGGAGGTAATTAGACCGTTCCGTGAAGATATTACCTCAGAATAGAAATTTTATCCCGTGTCTGAAATTCGAGTGGGACTATCAGTTTACTTGGATGAGTGAGCACGACCAAAGGCGTTGATGAATGTTATTACCAAATAATTTCTTCAAAATACAGTTTTTGACGGGCAAAGAAAAAAAAACAAAAGCTAGCTGAATATGTGAAAGTGATGTATTTTTCAAAATGACTTTTCACCGACTGATCTATGAGTTCAGTACCGTCCGGTAAATTGTGATCGCCTGTTTCCAACTTTACTATACCTTCTCACAAATAGTTAATAAAATTACGAAATCTGATCGTTTCTGACGAAGCTTTTAGAATAAAGTACAGTTTTTTGTACTCATTCACTTGTTACTTCGGAGCAAAATCCAAACGAATCCATGAATACCACCCCGAATGGCTTGAAAAAAAGAATTAAAACACTCAAAAGTGCGGCTTTTTCACACCTAGCTGGAAAAAAATCACATTGACTTTGATCGAGGCATTCCGACGCCTGTATAGGGTTCGTGGTTGACTGTCAAGGAATGCTTACTGTCAAACGCTTGCCACAGATGAAGCGGTAGGAACTGATCTTCACAACATTCTCACTTTCCTCAGTACCCAGAAACAATTTCAAGTTCCCTTGACTTACATCACGCGTTCGATATTTCGAGTGTTTCTGACGATTGGATGATCTATCAAACAATTATGTGATCAATGAGAATTCCAAGACGAAATCAACCTCGAATAGTCTATGATATTAATTTTCCTTATTACCCAACACAGTTTTTATTGTTGAGTACTAATGTATATGCATTGAAATATTTATTTTGACTTATTGAAATGACTACTAATCGCTGAAAAGAATTGCGCTCAACAATCTCAGTTCTATGGGACTTTTTAGGCATACTGCTTATTATTAAAAAAATGTAATGAACTATGTAGTCATTATTCAAATTATCACATCATAAAACTATAACGATGGATCAGATGTCGTGTTATGTACATTTGGGTAGCGAAAGAAATCTGCCTGACCAAACACATTTTGTCCTTAGACTGAAAAACCAATTCTCAGAACATATTATCTACTCAGGTGAAATGGCGAGCAACAAGACTCCATAACGGGTTTGTTTACCTGACCTCATATTTGTCAGAACAAAGGGTCATCTCTGTCTAACTGCTTAGGTTCTTGGAAAATGGTAAATAACTCCAAATGCCAATATTTGTTGTGTCACGGGTTTCCTCTAAACTGTGAGATAGGAATCGGAACTGTCTCGTAGGAATGGTGCTTTTCAATCAACGAACGACTGCCTTGCTTTGCGCTCCCCGAAGAATGCCGATATTCTGGTGGCGTCACTAGTGGGGTTATTATCACAGTACTTTGTCCTAATGTGTACTTCCACCTGGATATCAGATACAGCTTGAGAGTAACGTTCTTGTCCATTATGTGCCACTATGTGTGGTGGCCATAAATCATTCAGCAATGCCCTCTTCATGCATACAAGGCGGGGAGAAGAGTTCAGTTTTCATTGTACGTAATTTGCATACGAATAGATACACCTTATTACGAAGGTCAAAGCAATGCGCAATAATGATACCACAGCAGTGCCACGCTAGCAAAGCGATGTTCAAGTTTTGCCTCATTCCCCTCGGGAACAAACAGTCAGAATGAGTGAAGAAACAGAAATGGGAACCGAAATTAGAACGGGTAAAATAATCATCTGGGTTTTCAGTCCATTTTGAAGACTTTTCAGATTGACTGGGGAACCGGCACAATTGGTGAAATTTTATGCTGAAAATGGGTGACTGCATTCGGAACTGACACCTGAAATTAGTAAAAATATTAACTAACTAATCGTTTAGGGGAAGTGCATTGGAAGCCAAATTTCTCAAAGAAATGTTTTACATCATTGAAACGTTTTGAACAGACTGTTTTCATATCCTATTTGAGAAGTTAATCACCGCACAGTTTTTAGGTTTTAAGGGGCCTCCGTATAAGGTTAAAGCCGATTACAAGTCGATAGAAGGATATCAGTGTAGAAGCATAGAACTAGTTAAGTAAATCACAGGCATACAAATAAGCCGACCAGATGGACAAGCACAAAATATTTATCTGTAATATGTGGGGTTCGAACCCATCCTTGTATGCCACCCACGGCTTTGTACAGCAAATGCTGTACAAAAGCTGAGCTACGAGGCCACACTTAAGATACGGATCTCTTCCAATACAGAGACATGGAATTCACCAGTCAGCATGTAAACTGACTGTGACGACAGGTTTTCATCCGCAGTCCTTGGAATTCCTTGGTTCCATTTTTGAGGCAAATGGATCGGTGAAAATGGAATTACCATGTTGACTGAAAATAGGAGCTCAGTTGAAAAGAACCCTAAGTTCTGTGATGGATTTTTGACAGGTTAAAAGTTCATTATACACCGACGCATGACAAAAGGCACCTATCAATTCGTTTGCTACTAATTAAATTTCGAATGCAGTTAAAAAGTTATTTTTAGTCTTATGAAACCGAAGGTCGGTGAAAGAATATGCTTTCAGATAGGTTTGCAGCTCGACTGAATATTTTGACTCAACAGTCATGAAAATAATCGAATCTTAACCAACGGTTACGAGGACGGTTGGGCCGTATGATAGGATGCATCGGCAAAAGTATACCCATAATCATTCTTCAATACTGCAATAGAGTTCATACGTTGTCAAACAAGCACGTTTGAATCATCGCTATCCGTAGTTTTCAAAAATCAGTGCGTTGTCTCAAAATTAAATTCACTTTCTGTGTAAAATGATCACTGGGTTTTACCTTGGCGAATGGTATTAACAACCTTTGATGTAAGGCGTATTGTTTTGACTGCGATTACGCTTATGAGCTGTTCCGCGAGCAAAAAGGACGATATGCGCAGAGCTGTTCTAGTAACGTATGCTAGAAATGTAAAAGAGTTTTGCGCAATCAGTTACATTGTTAGAGAAAATAATTAATAAATTTTCACTACGAAAGAATAAAGGCATTCCGCATGCAATACTCAATTTTGTTCATGGAAACTCCGAAGGTCGTGCAGATTATGCTTAGTTATACACAGCACAAGCTAAAAAAGAACCGTTAATAATGTTCCAATTTAATTTAATTTACATAAACAAGGAAACGGTTCGGCGCATGATTGATTTATTCAGTCTGTTGATCATTCGGTCAAGTAAAGCCCTTTCACCTGGAATAAGAGTTCTTCGTCAGTTGAGTGACCAGTTCCACAAAACGCACTTGGAGAGGCTTAGCATAAAATTAACAAGTGTATTTATTCACTGCTACTCGATTTTGACTGTTAGAACTTCATAAATTAAATCACTCATAATGCACAGTCTCTCTTTAACTGTTGTGTGTCAAGGAAAATTTTCAGACAGAAACTACTTTGATAAGATCCCGTTCTCTATGGGTGAATTCAGTCTGGGTGAAAAATGTGATGTTCAATTGTTTTATCGTTTCATTTCTTTGATAGTAATAAAATGAACAACAAAAATATAATACTGAAGAGAAATGCCTATTTTTGCCCAAAGCCGCGCATAATACTTCCATTCATTATCATAAAATATTTTGTATCGAAATCTGCCTTGTAAAGGTTCTGCGGCAACTTGCTGCCCAACCTTTCATTCAATTCATGTGTGTTTCCAGGAAGGTGCTTCAGTGGTTATTGATCACCTCATTCCTGAAGGAGTTGGTATAGTTGTACATTCAGCAAGAATATAATACGTTTGTTTTTATTTTCATTATTATTATTTGAAACCAAACAGATTTGTGCACGTAATACTGAACAACCAGCACTATAATTTGATCTTATTCAGTCCATTGTAAAGTAAAACCTCTCACAATGTTAGTATATATGAGTTTTACATTTTCTCCGAGATTGAGAAAGTCACCACTTCTCGAAGTTTTGTCGCACAAAGGACATTATATTGAGTGGCAGCTGGCATGTATTCGTGTCTTAGATGCCAGCATACATTGTCATTTGCCGACTAGCACACTTGCCTTGACCTCAGCTTGTAATTTCTGTTTGTTTAACCAGGGTCAAGTTTCCTGTGCCGCACAGATTGACAGCTTGTCCCGGGCGCCTCATTAACGCTCATCGTACCGAATTACGATTGCCTGACCCATAGGTTTCACACTTCTGTTAATGCGAGCACATACTATTTAAAATCCTTACTGAATGCATGTTTTGCGATCATTGTATTTACTTCTTACGAATGCGTATTTCCTGCTCAGACTCACTACTTCAGGAGTGTGAATCATGGGTCACCACGCGTGTTTTTAGGATTATAAGATTCTTTGTTTTTTGAGTTGTATTGTTTATATCAGGAAAGTGATGATTATATATCATTATATTTTGCTATAGTTCATACGCCTTTTTATAAATTATATACAAGAATGAGAAATATTGAATAACTTGGATGCTCACGCAGCTAACATCACTTCCTCGTGATTCACATCGGTGTATCGAATTTCATAGAAGTAAGCCTGAGATATTATCACAGTGGTGAACAATATTGAAACGTTCAAATCAGTGTCACCCATTCTCGGTGTCGCTCAACTGTAACAAGTGACGAAACCTTGTCCCGTTTATGTGCTTCCAGGAAAGTGTGATAAAAGTCACACTGTTTGATGCTGCATCTATTTGCAGCAGTTATTATTCTTCAACCAAAACGTCTTCGCAACTCAATTTGTTACATTTCGGACACCACCTTGGCGTCTGTTATCGCGGTTATTGATGTGTGTGTGTGTGTGTGTGCGTGCGAGCGTCTGCGGGCGGGTGGGTGGAAGTTTGATTCCCATTCTGTTCATTTCATTTGTTCCAAATTGACCTTCAATTCGGATAAAATAACAAAAACTATTTAGTCATCAGCGGGCAGATAAAATATAAACAAATAACGCCTCTATTTCTGAGTATGTTATAACATAAACTTCAAATGTGCTCATCTCACACATTAAATGGAACATTTATGAGGAGTTCAGACATAAAAGATATTGACAACGCACAACATACAAAACATTAGGACTAAGACATTTTTGTTCAGTTTCAAATGGATTCTTTTTGAATTGTTTTTTCATCACTAGAATTCCGCGCAAAGTACTTCAACACAATTCCACTGAAATCAAATACTCAGCGAAAATTTATCGACCCATCCGTGATGCATTACGGAGATCAACAAGCGGCGTACAGCACATCACATGAACCAACCTCCATGACCAATGGGATTGTGGACAGTACTGCACCGATTGCACCCTGCCCGTTAGTTTCTGCTGATCAAACACTTCTCCTCAACCACAATTCAGGCTACCCTAATTACTTATCCGGTGCACACTCGTTTTCGGTCGAATCTCGTCAACAGAGTGCTCCCTTGACGCAACCGTTCACGTTGGATACGGGGTCGAAATCCGAGGTGGATAGTGGCACCGGGCAAAGTCTTTCTCATTCCGAACCACACTGGATGGAACAGTATCTTAACGAATTGTACAGTCGTAAACAGTGGCTTACTCAAGCGTTATTTGAGGCCGAAATCTCACTAAAGCGTTTATTATGTGAAGAATCGGTGAGTGCTGTTCTAATTATGATTTCTTTATACGTGTAATTTGTCAGTCATTACTGAACTGTCTTCTACATTTCTTTCAGTTCTGTTAGGAATCATCCCTCTGAACATCTACTTAGTCACTCTTGTTGCATGCCTATACAGACAATGGGTGGTATCTCTCGTAAGAATTCTGAATTACTACAAGGTGATGAATGTGCGTCTCAAAACATGACTTGACGAAAGTTGCACCCAGACAGTTATGAGAAACGGAGGTACAGACAGGGGATAATCTCAATTGGGATGAGGCGCAACCTGGAGACAGTTATTGTATAAAATCTGGTCAGGATTAAACAGCAACGGATGGGGTTGGGCGGGGTGGGGGTGGAAACATTGAAACGATTGTATTTAAATTTAAATATTCACTACAGGAAGTTGTTGTAAAACAAATGGGTTTACAAGGTACGTAAAAAACGAAAAAAAATATTTGTTTTAAAACTCAAAAGATTCAATGAGCAAAATAACCTGTGGGAAATCATGCAGGTATTCAACAATGAGAAACACTTGTAGATGTAATAAAATCTCATTATCACTGGTTAGACGCTTAAAATAAAAAAAGCCGGATGTGTAATCAGTTCCCTCAAGGGATATTTGGCCGCAAGCTGAGTGAGGCAAAGAACCATATACAATTGGATTTGTGATCTGACGTTTTGTTGATTCAGGCAATGAACAAATACTTAGAATCATTACGTATATGCAATAAGAGGTCGTCGATTTTTGGGCTGGTCGAAGTGAAAATCTCTGGAATAATTATTGTTGGAAAAGTCCTTCATATGATTCACTTCATAGATGACCTCTGATTATTGGCACCGAATCGCTTAGTCTGTAAACTAGCTGCACATACTGATCAACCCACTTTCCAGCGGTTGATTTACTCCCCAAAAATGATATGTTTTACCAGATCAACATACAGCGTTTGTTACATCTTTTCCCTATCCACTCGGTCTGCTTAGTTGCAATAAAAAACACCAAAATTATTTCTTTCTTTGTTTGCAAGTCCACAGCACATTGATCATCTCAAACAGCTGTGGCCTATACACTTTCCCGGCGGACACATGCAGTGGAAAGATCAAAAAGAATGCATAAATTCACGCAAATGAAAAGCTGGATATGTGCCCCGGTGTTATTTTTGTCCACGATTATCGGTCATGAATGAAATGGACACCGAGTTGGGGGCGGGTTATTTCAACCAGAAGGTCCGGTGGTGAATTTTACGCATTCATTGCCAAGTCGAACGTTTTCTGACATGCAACTCAGCGACATTTTTCGCTTGAATAGTGGTGAACCCGTGTTCCTATTTAATGAAACCCATTTCAAATATAAATACACAGGCATAACAACTGATGTCGGGAGCGAGTTGACACTTCAAAGTGAATGCATTACTGTTGAGCATTTAGTGTTGTATATCACTGATTAACTTAGTTCATAGTAAGTCATTTGTAAACGATAACATTGTAAGTTGGATTCATTCAACCAAATCTGTATTTGTGTGACCCTGATGGAATTGGATCTCAATTTACTGCTGAATAGAGGACAAAAGTACATTACAGATAAATTTAGATGACTCATAATCTGCATTGCACACAAAAGTATCTTCATTTGCCATAGTTTCAACAGTATACCAAACTTCATGTGATCGATGATAACTTTGTAGCTTGTACCTGTTGTAGCGCAATAAAGTTAACTGTTTCAACTCAAACGTCGAACGTTTTTGAGGCTCGATCGGGCTAGAAACGGTTTGCGATTTTACTGAATTACAATAATGGCAATACAACTATCCACTATTGTTTGCGGGCCCACAAACAAACACAAATCCATAACGAATGAACGACGTGAAGGGAATGGTTAATAGTCTTTCCATAGTAAACAAAATATTCTCGCTTTACGCGATTAAAACTGTTCACTTCTGTTTTAACTGTTTAACCGAAGGTAATGTTTTGATTCATAAGGATAGGTTAGTTCGCGAATAAACAACTAACCGTTATTTAGCACTATAACAATCCGGTTTAAGTGCCGCATCAACCTTGACAGTCACTATTACATTGCTACTCTCCAGGATATCCAAAAGCGTTACACTAGTGAATTGTATTTGGCTTTCAAACACCCTAAGTTTGGAAGAGGAATGATCTAACGAGATTACAACTTGATGTGCACGCAAAAGACTTGCTGGAGTACAAAGCCGAAATCTTTCAAATAACTAACCAATTGGTAATAAACTTTTAAACAAAACTATCTCAGGTCCACTCTTGACAATCGTCTAAACGCGTTAAAAGCTAAAATTTCTAACAATCGATTAACAGCTGCAAATGTTGTTAGGCACGTTTGGGCGTATTCTGCTACCCTTTTCGAATGAATATTTCATTAACCAAAACAAAATTCGTCCCATAAACCTACGTCAACGCCTAATTGTGAAATTATTTATCGAAGGAGTTCAATGACCATATACAACTGAGCACACTACTGATTTTAGAAAATTTCATTTGAGGAATACAAAAATGAAACTGTATGACTGAATAAACTGCTAAATGAATAAAACACTCTTTATATAATTCAGAGTGGAAACTAGCAATAAGGCGAAGCATTTATCATTTAAATACGTTATACATAGCTTATGTAGTTGTATAAAGTGTAGTGCATTACGTATTATATATTTTCTGAAATCTGTTTGTTTTATTTTGCGGAATTAGGGCGCAGTATCATATTTTGATCACTTATAATGAGGTTACATCTAGAAATTCTAATTGACAATCCCAATTCACTATGCAAATTATCCACTGTGAACGCAATTCGAGTTCCTCGCACACAAAGAGCATGGTAAAACTGGACGGAATAACCAATGTTTCTCCTGATCTAAAACGACCAGTGCTCACCATTTTCAAGAGCGTGCATGAATGCTGACCAACGGTGCAACTACATTATCACTTATTTCCGTTTATCATACTTTAAAGTTCTTCTTACTAAACCTATGAAGGGAAATAGTTTGAAATGACTGAAACGATGTTTTCGGAAAGAATATAAATAAGATATGGTGAAACATTGAAGTTCAAATCCTAATGTGGCTAGGTTACTTAACTGAGAACTGCTGAAGCATGATCAGTTGGGAATCACTTTTAATCATAATAAAGTTTATATTCGACTGATCAGATCACTTATGTCTCATATCAGGGGACAATCAAGCAGGTTACATGGACACTTTTATATTCCATTAGTTAGCTCGATAATCAATTAAATCAAAAAAAGGTTAAAATCAGGAGGATACGTTTTAGATAGTTAAGCGTGCAACTTTTGACTGTTAGTGATTGGAATAGAAAACCCACTGAGATACAAAACACGTTACAGATATTTTGAGTGAAAAGCAGATCAGTTATACGGTATTTCCAGAGGCTGAACTTAGTAAACTATAGAATTCGTTGTATCTGAGTACCTAAATATAAGATGCAGTATTTGTTGCAGATCGTTGGCAGTGATAAATGTGCTTACTCCAGTGTGCAAGTGGCATCTATAAATTGTTGTATGAACTGAATTCGGGAATTCAGGAAACGGCATCTATCATGTTCCAAAACATTGAGAGTTGGAGAGAGACTGTATCTACTTGTGTGTATTTTTGTCGATATCCATTATCAACAAATCGTACTTTTGTCATAAGTAGTCCAAACACATGCACATGCTATAGCATACGAATGAGCGCCGATGATCATGTCGTAGTTTATTTATTTGGATGGCAATTGAAATTGTAATGCAAAAAACTGGACTAAATTCGTCCACACCATACATTCAAAACCCCTATCCAAGTTATTAATATGTATGTGTACAGATTAGACAATACATAGGACTGCTCCGATTGAGAAATGAAGAAGCGCTTGAACAAAACACTTTTGGGCGATAAGTATTCCCTATAACTCAAGGTACGTCTGGGATGTCCAGTTTGAGAGCGTGAAACGAGCATTTCGCTTACGAACACCGGAGGGAAGTCGTTCACCAACGCATATGTGATACGAAATACAAAATGCAAAAGTAATCGACAAAGAAATCCCCTCTAAAGGCACTGGTCAAACCGCATAAAGAATTATAATGTACATTCAGTCTCCTGTTGATACAATGCTCCCCTGTGGTCGAATTGTATTCCAGTAAAAACAAAATGATTTGAGCTGCATGGAAAGAGTAAGGTTAATAATGAATAGGTAGAAATGCATTCTGCGGTTAAAAATCACCTTCACAAATTGTGGTGAAATAAATAATACACACTATTTATCTCATGGACAGGGAGGGTGAAATGAACACATGACGAATAACTCGTTGTGAGCAAGCAATACGTTGGATTGATCTGCGGTTGATTGTGTGCCTTCAAACATTTGGTGACCACACTGATCACCTGAAGTGATGCTCATCATCGTTAGTGTTGTCCTTCTGATTCTAGGATTTGTCCGAGTGGTAGAGATTTTATCTTGTTGTTTACCAGGATTCATTTAGGCCGGCTCCATCGACTATCTCCATATCAACGCAGCTGCATGTGGTAACCACGTGATTTGGACGCATTGTATTATTCTATATACAAAGCAATATGCATGACTTTGACGCTTCAAAACTATTTCCTGTTGGATTAGTTTAACCAAGATCGTAATCATCCTACTGTTAAGGTAAAGGACATGGATCCTCAGCACTGTTCCATTCTAAATGGATAATGATAACCAACCAACACAGATGAACCCTGATTCACGTTTCACCCATTTTTCACAGAAAAATCATTGCCTTCCCCCTTTAGAAATATTTGCCCGTAATTGTTGTCGTGTAAACAGTTCAGTGACCATAAACAACTGTTTTGACCTGGTTGGGTCTCATCAACAGTGCGAGTCTAACAACCCCATTGTTGATCGAACCGGCGACCTTAGAGGTAGAACGCCAGCATACTACTCATACGGGTACTGGGTAGCCAATCCGACCACTTTTCGTTTATCATTAACACA